TTTGGTTTTTTTTTTTTTTAAAGTAAAAAAAAAAAAAAAAGTGGCTTCAGTTGCGTTCGGGAAGTCCTGCCTGGCTCTGGGTGCCTGCGCTGAGTGCAGGCGGCGGAGCTCCAGTGAAAGAAGTTTTAAAAAAATAAAAAATAATAAAAAAATAAAAATGCTCGAATCCTAAAAGGAAATAAAAATTATTTATAAAAAGAAAAAAGGAAAAAAAAAAAAAAACACCAACCAACCAAACCACAGTTGCATGAGTGAGGCTGTGAAGTCAAATCTTTAGTAATAAAGTGGCAGTGCCTTTCTTTTTTGTATATTCACCCGTTCACCCCACGTGCAACTGTTTTGTACCACGCGCGCGTCGTGGCAAGGGCGATGTCGGCGTTGGGTGGGCATCTCCCCCTCCCCCCCCAGCTCTCCCAGAGACAGCCCCTGGCCCCCAGTGCTCGCTGGGGACCCTTTACTGGTGCTGTTCCCCTGAGCCGTCCCCGGCTGCAGCGGGGGAGGCCGGCCAGCTCAGCGCCCAAGTGTCCTTGGGTCCGGCGGATGCTCCCCACGGCCGTGACACCCAGGGGAAAACAAAAACAAAAACAAAATAATCAACCAACCCTTTTCTTTGGAGGTGTCGTGTCCCCCCCTCTCCCCAGGGACAAGCCCTGAGCTCGACTGGACTTGAGCTAGGCTTTGCCTTTGCTTGCTCAGCTCATTAAACAAATCTTGGGGGCGATGGGAGGGGGTGTCAAGCCCGGCCAGCATCCAGCAGGAAAATCCAAAACTGTGATTTACGCCCGCGAGCGGCGCGGAGCGAAGCTCGAGTTTGGTCAGCACTTAGGGAAACTATTTCTGTTGTCACCTTTCTCCATGTCGGGGTGCGGCCGTGCCCCAGGTTTGGCTTTCTGAATGTGCCTGATGGAAAGTGGGTCCTGCAGACGTCTATAATTTGCACACAGCGGCGATTAACACTAAAGTTGATTTTATACAAGTCATCAGAGTTTGCAAAGTGAGTTTTATTTTTTGTATTCCTTTATCTTTACTTAAAGGTGAATGTGTATTCCTCTGGGAGGAATAGGAAGAAAAACAAACAAACAAAAAAAAAAAAAACAAAAAAACCCCAGGAATGTTAATAATGTTAAACAGAATACTTCCTCCCTTATTAATATATATAACCCTTATGTATTTATGCATATTGTAAGCTTACTTTAAAAAGCTTTGAACTCTCTTCTGTTGCATGCCGTTCCCGGGCAGCCTTTTATTGTACATGCATGCCTTTAGTCCTGGTTTTTCTGTACAAAGTTAGTGCACAAAGAACTATTTTTGCCTAGTTAATGTTGCCGAGCAATGCCTATTTTTTAAATTTGGGTTTTGTTTTGGGTTTGGTTTTTTTTTTTTTGGTCATATATGGAAATAGCATGTTTGTTACATGTAAAAGCTTCCCGATATAAAGAAATACTAATGTTTGGAGATGCCGGTCTTTGCAAGTGTACAGTTTTCAAATGTTGTTCCCAGTGAAACGCCCTCGTGATTTCAACTTGCTCCGATGTATTTATTACTCATTTCCTCCCGTGTAACTAGGAATCATGGCTATATTTCATATCAACGTTATATTGAAAGTGAAGGGAGATGATTAATACAAGGTTTTGTAACACTGGGGTGTGGCGCCTCCTTATTTACGCTCCTTTTGGCAGATGGCCTCGCACTTTAAAAAAAAAAAAAAAAAAATTAGAATAAAATAAATGGCCAGCCCTGTGGGGTAAGAGAGGGGAGGAGGAGTCGCGTAGCTCATAGAATCATAGAATCGTTTAGGTTGGAAAAGACCTCGAAGACCAGCAAGCCCAACCATTCCCCTAACCCTGCCATCCCACCACTAAACCCTGGCCCTAAGCACCTCAGCTGCCTGGCTTTTCAATACCCCCAGGGGTGGGGACTCGACCCCTTCCCTGGGCAGCCCCTTCCAGTGCCTGACAGCCCTTTT